TGTTCAGTTGTTTTACTATAGGTAAGAATATCTCTGGCCAAAATGAACAATAAACGATTGTGATTGGATTAGGTTTTCAGAGCAAAGATAACATTACTGAAATGTGTTTATTCATTCTAGATGGTAACCTGTCTCTCCTTAAATGCCAGTCAGCCTTGGCAAGAACGCCTCCATCTGCACCATTTCATTTCCTGAACATTCTGGGATGTTCAGAATGTATGTCAAGCAACCAAGGAGGACTTAAAAGGTAAATAAATAAAATGGAGGCAAAATAATGAGAAATTTGAGTGCCGTAAATTACATAGTAAATTTTTCTTGTATAGGCTTAACCGACTGTTAAAACTGAAAAGGATTCCATGAGCCTTTTAGTTTGTAAAATTATATTTCTACTCTTTAGAACCACTTTTCACATTTATAATAATATGGCATTTTTCCCGCTTACGTTAGAAAAGGCATTGAATGTCACAGACACTTACAAACTATAAAAATGACAATGTCATTGTCATTTCCTTTGAAGTAACATATGGAAAATCACTATTGCTTTTTTTTCACTATGAAGTAGTTTGTTCTCTTCTCTTCCACCTTATAATATTCGTTATATATTAACTTATATTTAATGTAGTATTTAAGCAATGATAGATGAGCTACTATGTTGGTTAAGTAAAAAAATAGAAGTTTAGCTCGTGTAAATGACTCCGGTGATTTTTAAAAATCCATTTTCTCTCCAAAAAGTTTCCTATACTAACCACAGAGCAGAATATATGTTTCTGGCTTACAGAAAAAAATACACTGGCTAATGTGTTAAAGTATCATATGAAATGCATCTTTTATGTATAGAGATTTTATTATAGATTTTACATTTTTACATTGTCTCTCATATTCAAGAATCAGACTTCAGACTTGAGTGTCACTCACACATACAGTCATATTTCATTCATGCCCATTGCCAAATGCCAGGCAGTTTTAAAGAATTTAGAAAAGTAGCGTTAGCTGCCAATACACACTGGCAAGCTTTTCAGAATGCTTCCCAGGAAGACGCTTAATTCAGGCTAACATGCCTAATCCACCACTACTGTAAATGCTTTACTTTATTGTTACAATCAAGATGAAAACATAAAATAATTTTCCCTGACTACCATCGGATACTACACAAGTCATTTTAAAAAGCCCTTAAAGCATGGTTTCTTAACTGAATAAGCTAAATTATGGAATGTTTATATTTAAAATTCAGAGGAAAACCTAGTTACATGTAACTGATTAGGGACAGGTACATCACATACAATACATATTAAGAAATGTCCAGGAAAACACTGCCTCCTGATGCTAAAAAGGAAAATTAAATTATTTTATTTCCAATTCAATGTTTATTTGAAAGACAATGTATTACTGTTTCCTTGGATTTCCTCTGTGATTAAATCTGTTATAACTATGCACTTAATTGATTAGTTTTATTCCTGACTGGATAATTTCTCAGAGCTGAGTCATTTCATAATGTCTTTTCCACAGTTTTCCAATATCAGTGGGATATAAAAAGTCAGCCCAAATACTTCTCAAGTAGCTTTATATACTTAAGCCACTAAATTGCCCTATGGTAACAATAAAAAATAATATTTTATCATTTGCATGACCCTGGAAATGTGATCTTCTAATTGACCCCAAGAGTGTGTGTCCCCCTGCAGTCCAACACTGCTCTTTGGTGCTATCCCTTATAATCTCATCATGGCCTGAGGTGCCCTGCTGTCTCAATTGCCTTGTACTAGAAACGTCAACAGTAGCATCCTTCTGACTCGGTTGCAGGACCAGCCTACCTCATGTGGACTGATTAGTGGGGAATAACAAGCAGTCCCATTAGTCACCAGATTTCACAGGCTCCCACCTTCATCATGAGACCTCAGCCAAATGCAAAGTTCTCCTCCAAGTACTTCTGGAGGTCCTCAGTGAGTAACTTACCTAAGCTCACCTAAGAGAGCTTAACCAGGGTGACTTACCTAGGATGACGCTCCCTATTGTTTCAGGTGTGATTGTGGCATTACTGACATCAGTGTCACATCCCGCTGACTAAAGGTAGACTCCATGAGTGATTTTCTCATCAGTTTCACATCAGAATCATGGGAGGGAAGTGATGCTGGTCCAGCTGGGCTCTGTGACACACCTACACACACACACACACACACACACACACTCACACACACACACACAAGCACACACAATGCTTTTGCAAAGTGAGAAGGCAAATTCTTCATCTCTCTGTGTCTTGTTCTGTTTGGAGAGGAAAAAAGTGGTCCCACAATAGGTGTGCTTGGGGCCCCAAGGTGTCACAGAGTTTACTAAGAGAGTTCTCTCATTCTGCACAATTTTTTTCTTGTTTCTTTTTTTTGTCCCCTCCAAGATGCATATGGAGTGTCAGGATCTCTATGTCTGATGGGATTTCATGTAGTAATCCCTTTAACAGACCAGTCCACATGGTAACCTCTTAGTAAATTCCTTTAATATCTTTTTGTGATCTAGATTCTTTTGTATGCACCACCACAACAAGGCCCTATAATTTGGGGCAAGAAGCAACCAACCCAGTCCTCTTATAAATTAACAGGTATAGATAAATAGTTTAAGAGAAGGGATTTACCCAGCAGCACTCACCACATCTGGGATCAGCCCCCATCTCCATTTAAAAGCTTTGACTTTTTCTAAGTGCCAGTTCACCATTACAATAGCAATAAAAAGTAAGAATAGGTAACAGTCTCAACAAGTATATAAAATGACTCATGAGAAAAGGAAAACATTTACTACCAGGCACTTGCATACATCTCATTAATCTCCACCACAACCAGAAGAGGCTCAAATTTTTCAGCCCTATTTTACATAGAGGTTCAAGTTCACATAAATATCCAAACCAAGGAGAAGCCACGAGCTCTAATACCAGATCTGAAGCTTTTTCCCACATAGAATGCTGACTTGGGTGTTCAGAGAACTTCCTGACACGGTGAGGCTGAGAACATGATGAACATTGGCCTGAGAAAGGGCCACAGAATATTTTCTCTCTCTAGTGCCCCGCCGTTTAATGAGCACCTATTTTGTGCTGGATTCTTGACCGCAGCTCATCTCATCCTGCTAACAATGCCCTGAAGCAGATCTCGCTTCCACCCATTTACAGATGCAGAAACCAAGCTCAAGGGGCACAGCAGGTGAGCTTTCTACTCCTCAGCTTACCCTTTACAGGATGAGGATATAAAATCCACAAGCTACATATCCTAAAGGAATCCATGTGCTGTTCTTTAAAGCATGATGGTAAATTGAAATACATACAATGGCACCACGTGGTACAAAAAAAAATTAAATAAATGGAAATGTGGAACTGTTAATGGAGCAGAACATACATCTGAAAATAATCGTTTAAAAAGGGTTATATGCAAAGACAGAGCCATGCATTTGTTTTCACCTCAGTGTCTTTTGAGAGCCCTGTCTTGATAAAGATACAAAACATTGTTAAAATAGCCACGACGTGGTGTAATCTTGCTCATGGGATCCTCCACCCTTGGAGCAGCATTTGTTGCCTACTTCTGCAGTAACAAATTATCACAAGCTCTGTGACTTCAAACAACAGAAATTTATGGTTTCACAGTTCTGGTGTGAGAGGTCTGCTGTCCGGGTTGGTTCCTTTGTGAGGCTCTAGGGAACGATCCACTCTGTGCCTCTCTTCTATCTTCTGTGACTGTGGCAGTCCTTGGTGTTCCTTTTCCTACAGATGCATCACTCCATCTCTGCCTCTGTCTTCACATGGCTTCCGCACTATGTGTGTCTGTGACTCAGATGCTCAAATCTCTCTCTCCTTTCTCTACTAAGGACACTGGTCATTGGATTTAGGGTCCAATCATCTAAAGTCAGGATGATTTCATCTAGAGATCTTTAGTTAAATGACATCTGCAGAGACCCTACTTCCAAATAAGTTCATAGTCACAGCTACCAGGGATTAGGCAGTTTGGGAGGACACAATTCAACCCACTACAGGAGTAGTGCCTATGTTAGGAAAGACTGTACTTGTTAATTAGGGTCATTTACTTAAAAAAGCTCAAAATAGATTTAACCTTAATGTGTCCAAGATATTCAGATATAAGAGGCACAAATGAAAAAAATAAACTCTGTTATGGAATTTTCACGCTCCAAATTAGAGAATACCCCCCCAAAACAAAACAATTTCCCCACAATTCTGAAGTGGAAAATATTTCCACTTGTGACCTGATAATATAAAAGACATCACTGAGAACAGTCTTCCTCACTTGATAATATACTTTTTTCCTTTTTATCCTAAATCAGCTTACCTTTCACAAAAAACTACACACACACACACACACACACACACACACACACAGACCTAGACTTGTGGGATTCTTGTATTTTTATTTAAGATGGATAAGGTGACTACATAGAAAAAATATTTTTCCCCTCTTTGGTAAACCAGAGCATATGATATTACGTTCCACATAAATATAAACTATAGGTGCAGGAAACAAAAAGGATCTCTCTGAAGCCAACACAATCCACAGGCTAAAGATTCCCTTGTTGGAACTAGTTACAACACTGCACAAACTAATTCCCTTAATGGTGACTTCATAAACATGAGATTATTCACATATTTATATGGTGTTTATGCAAATGGGTCCAAGTCATTTCTTAATTTTATCCAAGTAAGTTTATGCTGGTTTCAGGTTTTACTATAGATACTTTATCATATGCTAGAAATTATCACTCTAACATGAAATTTTAAAAGGTGAAGTGAAACTAAGTGATGCAAGGGCTAGGACTGATATTGGTAAGACAGTATAAGTTCTGCATGGTAGAGTGTATATGAAAAACAAGGGGAAAGTCTCAAAGTCGTGGATCAAGCCAGGAAGGGGTGTGCTGCTAAGTAAAATCAGGAGCCGATGTGCAGGACCGACATTTCAACTTGTTATTTTAAAAAGCGAGATTATTTTACATTTCTTGATATAGATTTTAGTGCTGACCTGTTCCAGTGAAGAACTTCCAGGCAGAATTATGTCTTTCTGGGCGTGTCTTTCAGTCTCCTCGCTGTAAGCAGAGGTGGCTTCACCGTCCTCTTTGTAGAGTCCAAGAATCTTACCAGAACTCACCAGCTCTTCAGAACCCAAAGTCTCCTCCACGATGCTCTCATCTGTTTACCCCAAGAAGATCACATGAATTCCACTCGCTCTTTGTCACTTTAACATAACGTGTGTCACTAAACACACAGTAATTTAACCACCTTTTTTCTTACACAGGATCAAGTTTCATTTTTTCATCATCAACAATTTAGCGAACTCTTTATGCTTAATGTGCTGGGAAATCAGTAAAGCCCAGGTTTTAAGATTAAAAACTAACTACCTGTCAACGAACTTTGTCCATCCTGCCATATTCCCAAAGTGAGCAGCGTACAGCTGTGCTTTAATGTCTTTTTCCCTCTTACCAAATACATCTTGAAGTGTAGATACTGTGCTTTTCCGTGCATTGGTATTACATGCTGTTTACTTCAACATCTTACCATGTACTTGCTGTTTTGCTGAAACCAGCTTGGGAGATGAATGGTTTTAGGAGAAGCCAGAGCTCTTGGGTTCACTTCCCGAGTTAGGATCCCCGAGAACAGTTCCTGAGCTCTGTACACACAGAGGGACTTTATTTGGCCTGCCTTGTTTATTTGCATAGAAATGCCAGCACTTAGATAAATGGTAGTGTACTTCACTTCTCTCTCTAGCATCTGAAATCAGTATCATCTACAAAATGTATCTACTCACCTAGCTAGATGCATGCTGTAAATATAAAGTAATCCTCTCTCTTCCAGTCTCTAAAAAAATACTGGCAGGTAAAATATGGAATTTTCCATGCCTTCAATGTTAGGATTTTAACAAGAAACTCGACATTTTTAACCAATGGAAGAGAGCCTCTTTTGTGGAGGGAAATGCAGGGTGCAATATACAGAGAACTGCTGGTCTTCCTTCTTTGCTCACTGTACACTGTATTGCCTTGTATACGTCTTTAAACTTTCTAAGTCTCGGTTATATCCTCCTCTATGAAATACATGGTGAAGTTCCTGACTATTCTATAAATGCCATAAAACTCTTGTGAGCTCATAAATGATACTGGAAGACCTATTAGATGCTACCTGTAAATGCTACAAGTGCAAACTGGTGGTTTCAAGGGCTCCAAGCTGCAACGAGTTGTCATATGGAAGGGACATGTTAGGTACACAAGTGCCTTACTCAATGTCTAGCACACACAAAAAAGGTATTCAATGTATATTTGCTGACTCAGACATTATACTAAAAATATAGAGGCCTGACTGATTTAAAATAACCATTTGTGATGCTTAAGTTTATATATCAGCTTGGCTGGCAATGGTGTCCAGTTATTTGGTTAAAAACCATCTAGATGTTGCCATGAAGGTAATATTGTGATTATCATTTAAATCAGTAGACTTCAAGAAAAGCAGATTACTCTTCATAATGTGGGTGGGCCTCATCCAATCAGTTGAAAACCTTAAGAGCAAAGACTGTTTCCCCAAACAGAAGGAATTTGGTCTCAAGACTGCAACAGAGAAAATCCAGTCTGAGTTCTTGGCCTACTGGCTTGCCCTGTGACCTTCAGTCTCAAGAGTGCAACATTAACGCTCACCTGAGTTTCCATCCTGTTGCCCTGCAAAATTCAGCTCCTTCCTGAACTTCATATTACTCTTCCCTGAATCAGCCTGCCAGTCTGCCCTAAGGACTTCAGAGTTGCCAGCTCCCACAAAGATGAGAACCAAATTTTAAAATAGATCTCTCTCTCTTTCTGTTGGTTTTATTGGATTCTGCTTCTCTGGAGAATCCTGCCTAATACATCATCTGAATTAGGATCCATCAGAATGAGGGCTCAAGCTGGCTTGAGAAACAAATTTGCTTCGTTCATAAAGACAAAAAGAAATAAAAAATTGGCTACACAAACTAATAGCAAAGAACTAAAGGGGTGGTGAATCTAGGTGGAAATAAAATTTTTAGGGGGTACTATTCTGTAAATGGGGATCAAAAATGAGACCTAATCTTTAGGGCTGCTATGATGTTTAAATAAGTTAATATTTACCTTATTTAGAACAGTGCTTAGGACTGTGCCAGGTACCCAGTAGGCACTCAAGAAATGCTTAATTAATATTTTTATCATCAGCATCAATCGTCAGTATCTTCATCATTCTATGTATGTGCTTATCATCTCTGCTGATGTAATAATTAATAATTTAATCCCCATAATTAACTCCATTGTGGCAGGTATTATATGTCCATTTGGCAGAAATAGCAAGGAAAGGTTAAGAAATTGGCCCAAGGTCACATAGCAAATGGTGAAGTCTAAGCATAAATTCAATAGAAATAATAACCATAACTATTAGAAGACAACTATAATCAGTGCCTTCTCCTCATAAGTACCATAAGGAGTTATTTGAATAAGTGAGAAAAAAATGATTGAGAAAAACTAAACACATATTGAGAAAAAAACTTAATAGAATTATTCCTTGTGAATTTGAAATCATGTATATACAGAAACTTGCACTTAATGTTTTGGTAAAAACTCCAGTGCGGTTCTGGCATGAATTTATATGTATTAACCTAAGAATTTGAAATTTAGGTTTTAAAGGATTACCTTTAAGTTCCTAGATTAATACACATAAGAATTTCTTACCTAAGGAGCCTAACATTCACAAGTATGAATTCTCATGCTAAGACTGAAAACACTATACTATTTGTCTTTTTTCACCTCAGAGAATTTGTTTACAACCTAAGAAACAGTCTTTAAAAAGAATGGCATATAGCCTCATAAACTAGTGAATCCAAACATACCATATGACATGGTAGGATCCTGCAATAGCAAGTCTGTTAAATCATTTTTGCTGTTTAGGATTATAAATTCTATATAATTATAGGAAATTGGGCCATAATTAATTCCTCCCCCCAACTTTAGCTGTATTAAATATTTGCAGCCATCAAAACTTTACATAGGTCATCAATTAATGGTTATAGTTAGAAAAACCAGGCTAGCATTTGCATGAAACCATCTCAATTAATTTACGACTAATGTTAATATAAAAGACTGGAAATAATTGGTCTCTTACCTTGGGATCCTCCTTGCCCATTCTCATGAAAGAGCTCTGTTAATCGATCATAGAGAATTCTATTATCAACTTGTAGGGGTGCTAAAAGAACATATTTATGATAACTTTCTCATCAGTTAATTTATAGACATGCAATGTAATTACAAAGAAATTATTGATCATCATGGTTATTTAGTTATTTTATAGGTCATAGACTCAAATTCTGTTCAATATGCTGTCTTGCTCTAAAAAAAGCAAACAAAAAAACCCTTTTGTATATCAGTGATAATTGGAACAATGATTTTAAAATGCATGTTGCAGGGCACTTGTAATGTGATACTTCTCCACTAAAAAGGATCTCATATTCAATGGATTATGACATCTATGACACAAGAATCATTTCAGAATAAGCCATTATAGTTTCTCAAATCATAGAATATATAAGCATCTGATCAAAATGAATGACTGTTTTGCACTAGCTACTCTCTATATATCATATTTTTTACTACAGAAACAACAAATTTAGGTGTTCTTAGATTCTTTTATATATGCCACTGCAGTATAATAGCGAATGTAAGAACTACTGTACTCTTCTACAAGGGTAAAGCAACAAGGTCATGTCACTACCAAAAAAATAATAATAATAATCATAAGAACATGGTTCTAGAAGAGGGTTTAAAGGGTCATTATGTGGATGTCCTACCATTGGATAGAGTCGAATATAAATTATGCCAAGTTGGATGACCACTCCAGTCATACAATTAGAACACAGATACAAACACACATACCTCAAACATGTCTCATCCCATACATACATCAGACATGTTCCTCCCATGGAGAGGCTGATACAATGTCTGGAGCCCCATGGTGAAATATGATCTTCTGGGTTGCAAATGACTCTAAGTAATATTTGTCACTGTCACTATCTCAATAACCTCTGTAAACCCTAGAGTGCTTTGTAAACTACCAAATATGCATGGTGGTAGGCCCACAAGGAGCAATTTTAAATTGTTATCTTACAACCACACCTAGAATCGACATTAGAGAAGAGGAAACCATCACATCACTGCACCTCTGTGGTTCAGAACTTAGATGGTGGTTCCATGTCTTCAATGAAAGAATTCAATAGTCTCTGGATATGGAAATCTCACATGTTGGATGAATTTTATTGAAGAATGCTCATTTTAAACTTGAAGAGCTGAGATGGCATTTGTAAAGTAATAATGCTCCTCGTATGCATAACACAGGCCTTAGAATGGCAGCAAACTGCTTAGAGCAGCATCAAATGAAAGCCAAGTCCTGCTTCTCTATCTGACCAGCTTCCTGTCCTCGATCAAAAATTATCTTTGCTGCCTGTCATGTTGTTAGTGGTTAAAACTTACCATTTAAATTGTAAGCTGCAAAATCTAAATGGAACTGCATGTGTGATCTTTGTCACCTCATTTTCATGAATGGAAAAGAATATTCTGACACAAAAATTACATACTTAATTCTAGCTCACCCTCTCCGCTGACCTCCATCCCATACTGCCTTGGGTGTATTTCCTCATCCGTCAGTGGGTCAAAGTAATTTCTGCTGTATTCATTTCCTGTGGAAAGTACATGAAGTAAGGGTCAGTGATTATTAGAAGCACATGAACCAAAATGTTAATTCTGAAATCGACACCAGCACAGAAGGGCCATTTTAGCTACTTTATAAGCTTAATTTTTTACAAGTCTTCGCGGCTTCCCTTTTTTTGTAATTATCATCTTGCAAAAGGTCAGAAAAGGTAATTCAAGAAACAAGTTCATGCTATCTGTCTGTTGCTAAAAAAATTAATGGGGAAATTTTCAAATGTAGACTTTAGAAGAATAATTTGAAATTTTAATCAAATTGTTTCTAGGATATACTCAAGAAATGGACACCATTGGATTATAATGATGTTTAGAGTTCACTGATGACTCTATTTACCCACTTGTATATAATTCACGAAGTATATCATGTCATTATGTCCAGAATTCCAGTCAACTTAATAACATCGTAGTTATGAGAAGCTATAGCAAAATTTCCACAATTGCTAGCTGAGTAAAAAGAAAGGAGAAAGAGATAGGGAGGAGGGAGGGATGAAGGAATAAAAGAAAGAAGAAAGGGAGGGAGGGAGGAAGGGAAGGAGGGAGGGAGGGAAGGAAGGAAGGAAAGTATAAGGGGCCTGTTCACAGGTCTCTTTTGTTATGTCAACTTAAGTAACATGAAGGAAAGGTACAAATGATTTAGCCAGAAATTTTATCCAAGACATCAACAATCTCAACGACACAAACCCAAAATTCTCACTTCACATTTCCCACTTTCTTTTGTCCTTATGTCGATAACAAAACTGTAGCATCAAATATGACTTTGTAATAGAGAAAAAAGATCTGTTACCAATTTTCCAAATCTAGTTTCATACTTCCTGCAGACTGAAATATATAGCAGTCTGTTGCTAGTAATTTGCATTCGGTAAAATGTCGCCTACTCTGACGATACCTCAAGTTGCCTCAAACATTGCAAAAGAAATAAAGCTTCGTCAACTGAAAACAACAATAATTTTGAAAGTATTGCCCACAGGGAAGGCTTAATATTGTACATACCAAGTATACTGTGATATCCCATAATATATTTGTTTTAAGATCAAAAATAATCCCAACAGCAGCTCCAAGACTAAATGGAATTTTGATACGAACCTAGGCTTAAAATTTATATTTCTGGACCGGCACATTTTTGCTGTCAGTCTCTGTTCTATCAATGTGGTAAGAACTGAAAATCTGCTTTCCCTTGAGATCTCAATAAAGAAAAAATAAATGTTTCATTTTTGTTACTTTATCTGTCAACAACTACTAGGCCGATATGAATCTTGGCAGTGTGTAATCAAAGTCTTATGTACTGCAATAACACAGTAATTCTACCCCATTCACAGTAATTGTTGTTTTTTCCCCCTTTAACACAAAGCACTGTGATACTCTAAGTATACCCTTTCATATGCTGGCAAAATAATTCACCTTTACTAAAGCAAAAATAGTGGTGTATTCCTTACTACATTGCCATGGCAGCATCAGTCGACTATTGGTGCCCATATCCTGGAAACTCCTCCGATCCAATACAAAACTCCAATCCTCTGTCTACTGAAATGACTTATTAATAAACAATGGCAAGTGAATCAAGTCCTTGGAGAATAAACAAAGTTAAGTCATTTTTAACCACAGGTCTGGAGAAGCTGATCTGGCTTGTAGGTTCTCAGACCATTTTCATCCCTGTTGTCAGTTGAGAAATGAGGGTCTTGCCCAGCTGAGTGAGAGGAGGCCTGCACACCGGGAGCCTTCCAGACGCTACCTCCCCTCAGGGCTTGAGGCTTCCCCACTCAGCTGGAAGATGGGCCCCTTCAAGGTCTCCATACGGTTTCAAAATCTATGCAAAGTGTGCCTTCTACATTCAGTGTGGGTTGAGACACACATGTAAGTTATAAACGCCACTCCTGGAGTGATTTATTTTCTACTTTGCATTCTGGGATATGGCAAATAGCATTTTACAAGTAAAGAATTATAAGGGATCTTGAGCAAAGAGGCAATCCACTGATTCTCTTTAAAAATCCTCAAATTCTATAACATTATGTATTTAGAGGATTCATATATTTTTACAATGTATTTGTATTTTATACTACATTTTACAGTTCCTTGTGTATCGTTTTACATATGCATTATTATACTTGCTGTCGTCTGTCTGACTCTAAAATACAAGCTCCATGAGGGTAAAAACATAATCTCTGTGCCTAGAATTGTGCCTGGCACACAGAGGTACTCATACTATTATCTGGATTCATTAGTTAGATAAACCTTTTTTGGAAACTTTTTGTAATACCCAAATCCTTCCATGGTCTAGATGTTGTTTCTTGATTAAAATGAGCCAAAACTTACCACCTTTTTATCACACTTTATTCCTCTTGTCCTTTCTGTTCCCCATCCCCTCTCTCTTTTCCTTCAAGACCCCCTTCCCTTTGTTGTTTCATTGAGTCCTTCTAGGAACCAAACACTATGTCTGGATTTTAAGAACAAACAGAAAACAGTGGCTCTGCCTTCAGAGCACAGTGCACTGACAGGACAGGGAAGCTAATGTTCAATCCAGTGTGATTTAATATAGTGTAAGGGACAGAGGTCTGTTTGAGTGTGTGGTAGGAGCATCTAGCCTATACTGGGGATTTCCTGGAGAAATATATCAACTGAAGTAAGTTTAAAATGTGATTAGGAATTAGCCATATCAGAAATAAAGGGGCAAGGAATTTTTAATGGAAGGAGAGGCATAGGCAAAGGAAAAAAGACACAAAAGCATAAAGACATGGGAAGCATGTTTTGTTAGTGGATGCTCCCCAATTATTCTCTGCCTCCCAAAGTTACAGTATAATAAAGTAAATAATGGAATCCAAACTTCCTCAGTGGTCCCAGAGTTGAGTTTTTAACTGATGTTTTTGCTCAAATTATTATTAAGTCATACAGGGTCACTTTATGCGGATATGATGTTTCAGATCCATTCAATTATTTAAGGTGTATTTACTGAGTGCTTATTATGTGAATATATCAGCAAAACAAACATTCAAAAATCCCTCCCCTCACAGAGCTTACATTCTGTGAGTGGAAGAATAAAAGCAAACAAATATGTATATTTTACAGTTTATGAGATGGTACTACATGACGTGGGGGAAAAAAGGAGCCAGATAAAGATGATTTGGCATCCCAGGGAGGGGTGGGGCTGCATCTCTCGCATATACCTTTGTTTCAAACTAGGAATGACATGCAGGATTAAATCACGATGTTCTCAGCACTACTGAGATAGTGAAGTGGTAATGTAATATTTATAATTTATTATTTATAACATTACTATTTTGCCAATTTCTTGCTATAACATAAATCAGCTTATGAATCAAATAAGAACCTACTATTATTAAATATTAAAATAATTCTTCCTTTCTATTGTTGTATCTTGCCTTGATGGGCCAATAACCTGAATATAGTAGGCAGAGTTTAAGATGGGAAAGCACGTGGAACCTATGAGCAGTTTGGAAACTACAGACTTCATCTTAACAATAGTTCCTTTGCTTGTGTTTCGTTGGATAGGTCAAGATTTAATAAAGTGAGATGGTTTTAGGAGAGGGTATATATTACCAGAAGGTAGGTTACTAATAGGATAAATTCCTAAAAGTGCCCTAATCATTCAGAATATGCTTTTGGATATATCTAAAATCATCTCACAGGAAAATTAACAGACCCACTGAGAAATTCAAAGTAGGGCATTTAGCGACATACATACAACAGGTTTTAATATGGCCGACATTTAACTGCCTGTTACATTCAGATGAATAATCTGACAATTGCATATATACATATATCTATGGTTCTACATTGAAGCAATTGGGCATGATACATAAATTAATAAATCAGTAAATTGGTCTTTATACTCTCAATACTCTACTTTTGTTTCTAACTTCCTAGAATTAGCTGTTCAATGTTTAGAATCAGCCTCAGTTAGTGCATTTCTTGGGCTATCTTTACTGACTGGGGGAGGAAGGCACATGTACTTGCCTCTGCCCTTCCACAGATATCAGGTTTTCCTACCCTTTAACTCAGAGCAGCATGGAATGTAATCAGGGCTTTTACTTAAATTACACCGTACGTGAACTTTGGTCAGGAAATCCTCCAGTGTGCACCCATGCAGTTCCTTGGGGGCTATAATAGTGAGAATGAAATTGCCCACCAGAGGAAGGTTAGTGGGAATCATGGGAAGCATCTTTACTCAACGAGGCAACCACTTCCTTTCAAATCAGCCCCATTAGCTCCAGAGAGAGAAGCTCTGAATGCCTCTATCCATTTTTGGATTGGTTTATTGGTTCCATTCTTGTCCTCTTCCTGTGACTCCACCTGCTTCAACTCAGCTTTTTATCACCAATCATCATGTTTTTTATAATATTCTGTAAGTTAAATAAACACAAGGCATGTAAACTAAATAACTAAACAAGTTACATTCTACGATTACAGCCGTGCACGAAAATTTTACAAACTAGGATATTCTCCTGAACATTATTCCTTTTAAAGGCATGAAGCCTAGAGATCTATAATTAAATTTGATTCCCATGAACTTTATAAATAAATTTGGGAAAACTTTCTGCTTTCCCCACTTTGAAAATCTAATACCAAGGTCTCAGGCTTAAATGTTCAGGCACTTTATATATGTGGATGAAACAGAAATGTGGAAATCAAGAGGTTGTAATAAACGGCAAGTTAGTGGGAACTATGTCAAACTCAAACATGCTCTATCTTACTAAATCCACTCAAATACTATTTTTATAAGATTGATTTACAAACATTTTTTAGATTAATGGCAACAAAAGATACAAGGCTACTTTTTAATATGACAATTACCTTAAACCAAAATTTATTATACTAAGTATCAAAACAAAACTACGACAAAACCCAAACAAACCAAAAAAAAAAAAAACCTAATGATGGAAACTCAAACTATGACTTAGATGTCTACTATCAATATTATTACCCAATATTCTCTTAGAAATCTTAGTCAAGGCAATTA